AAAAATATTACATCAGGAGCATATGAAAGCATTTGGCTATTCAGACAGCACAGACGCAAACAGCAAACGTTGAGGACCTCACTCCATCTCTTTCAATCCCACCCCCTCCCGAGGTAAAGTCTCTTTCAGTAGTCAGCTGGGCACCAGCCAGGCCCTTGCCCTGCATTACATGCACACGCGCATAGAGACACACACAGTACAAATGGCCTGGTCACGTGTGTGCTGTGGGCGGACTTGTTTCCACTTGCACTCTTCCTTATCCATGCACGCAGATCTCCTTTGGAAGGGCACCTTGGTACCAGTAAGGATGGCTGGAATTTCCTTCCCGGCATCTCAGGAGCTCCCTCCACGGCGCACACTGCCACAAGGCACTCCACAGACCCTGTGCCCTGGGAGTCCAAGCACCAGGTGACCAAAGACAGTAGCCTCTGTAAGGCAGCATCTCCCACCAATGACACCCAAAGAGCCTGGCTTAATAAGTATTTGTGGAATGCATTTAAGGGAGTCCTTAGACACACAGATTTTAGAGCTTAAGTATTAATTTAATGTGTGTCAGGGAAAAAATCCTAAGTACATCAAACCAGTGGTTCAAGGATATTTGAAAATTTCCTTTAATATAAGTTTATTTAAGTTTAATAAAATGAGTCTATTTAAAGAGGCATATTAAGTAAATAATAGCACAGGTAGAGCATGGATATGGCGAATCCTAAGTGTGGGAGGTGCCTGATGAGGTTTGAGAACTGCAGTGGGAGGGGCTGGCTTCTGCAGCCGGGGGCCTGAGAGCCTGGTGTCCAGGGTTGCTGCGCAGGGTCTCTGGAGGGCCGGGAGGAGGGGGAAGGAGTTTGGGCCTGTTGGATGTCAGAGGAGCTGAGCACCGGCCACAAGGGATTTGAGTGGAAAGGGGAGTGCTTATGTTTCTGTTTTGTAATCTGTGCATTCCAAGTACCAAGAAAAGTGGCACCAAAGGCCAGAAGGGCACAGCTGCCAGGATTCCCCTGGGTTGCCGTGGATTCTAATGAGAATCTACAGTAGTGGGCAAGGACAAAGGCTTCTCTTGGGATCGGCTTCCCCATAGGCAATGAAAGAACTGGGCCAAACCAGCAGAGGTCTCACTTTATCGCCAGGGCCCTGGGAAGCCACTGAGGGTTTTTGCATCCCAGAGGTGACATGATAAGAGCACCTTTAAGACGACTGGAAGTATAAATCCTTCAGGGCATGCCCCTAAAGAAAGGAACTGCAGCTGTTTTGGCAACTGATTGGGTCTTCAACCAACAGCAATGATGTTCTCTAGCAAAGAGGCTTAAACTGAAGATGGGACCTGGAGTCGGCTTGGAGGAGATTTGCTCAGTGACACACAAGTGCCCAAGGAAGAGTCAGACCTCACGGACCCAGAGATCTCCAAGAAAAGACTCCAAAACAACTGGTTCTGGAGTTGACACAAACACAGGCGGCTACCAGCCCCCCTTCCTCTGTTTCTGATGCCTGCAAGAGACAGGCCAACCCGGATGGCCTTGTGAGTTTGCAGTTGGGGGCACTGGGGCCATCCCGGCCCCCTCACTTGCCTGTTCCTCCTTCCTTCCCTGCTGCCTCCCTCTGGCATGGCAGAGAGAAGACAGACCTGGGGATTATTGCTTTTAAAATGTTAGGACCAAGTACTTATCTACAGATGGTCTCAACCATGTTTTGAAAAATGTACGACCGTACAGGAAGAACATATAAAAATGTTAATGAAGAGTCGTTCTCTCTGGTTGGAGAAAAATCAATGACTTTTTTTCTCCAAAGAGCAGAGGGGAGAAATGCTACCAAGAGGAGCCCTCCTGACAGTCATGTGTCCCCCAAACTAGCAGAGCTCTGACCTGGACCCCTGCCACAATAAATGCCCCAAGAAAATGGCCCTCACACACGAGGTTAGCTCAGCCCAGGTGGTGATGTTAAGGTGAAAGAAAGTTCCATTTCTGTATGTAACAGAAATCCAAGCCAAGGCGGAAATCAGCACAAACAAGCTTTTTAGAAAAGGCGAGTGGACCTGGAGCAGGGCCCGGGTTTTATTGATAGAAGGCTAGGTCGTGCCCCAGTTCTGCTGAAGCATGCAGTCGGGCCCGTCCAAGGCAAACACAGCAGCCCGATCCAGCCGGCCTGAGAGCGAACCCCACGCAAGGCTGTTTGCCAGCCGGGGGCCGCTCAGCACCCATGCGGGACTCTTGGCTCCTTCCCCTGTGATATTTCAGTGGTGGTTCTGCTCTAGACGCAGCCCTTAATTCAGCTTGCCAGAAGGTTCTGAGCTTTGACTCCTCTTTCCAACAGAGGAAAGGGGGTCACTCTGTTTTCAAAAACCCAGACCTGAAAGCACCTCTTCTCTGCCAACATTCAGGGAGTGAGACAGCACATACGACAGATCCCAGGCCCTCCCCTGGGCTTTTGCCCACCACACTCGGGAGCTGGCTAACCTGCTCTAGGGCGGAGTTTCCCAGTCTCAGCACGATGGCCATATGGGGCCGGACGAGTCCTTGTCGTGGAGCTGTCCTATGCAGTACGGGGTGTTTCGCAGCATCCCTGGACTCTGCTAGAAATCAGTAGCATCCCCCAAGTTGTGACAACCACACGTGTCTCCAGATATTGCCAATGTCCTCCCCCCCACCAAGGACATTTGCCCGCTTTTGAGACCTGCTGCTCTAGAGGAACAAATAGAGACCCAATGAGGAGACCCAGGAAGCAGTGGGGGCAGCCGGGCTCCAGGGCGGGGCATGGGCGGGGTTAAGAGCACAGAGAGGAGAGAGACTTCGAAGCTCCCAAAGAGAAAAGCAAATTAGAACAATAAAAGTTTGTTTAAATAAGATTTTTAGGAAATGTTGTTATATGGTGTACTATGTAGCCTCCATCCTTTGCCTATTAAAGAAAATATTCACTAAAATTCTGCATCGCTCATCGGTGCTCTATGAGTCAGATGTGTCCCCCTCCATCCACCTCCCCCACTGGATGGATAGGTTCTGACTAAGGCAAGTTCCTCCCAAGAGAGCTGGTTACATTCAA